TTTAGGAGTGACTGGTAAGCAGATTTCTCCATGGCCTCCCTTGTGCAAGGGCAGCTCCCCTATGGATGTGTCCGCAAGGTCTGCAATTCGTAAGCCAAAGAAATGTTTCTGATAATTCATAACTTGCCTAACAAGGACTCCCCATGCAAAAATGGTTGTTTGTCTTCAAAGAAAGGCTTTTGGAGAGCTATTTTGTGGTAAGTCACTCAACGTTACTGATCCTCATTAGGTTAGAAAAGTACATGCTTTTCCTCCAGGAAGAGTATGTAAGTGTTGGAATTTCTAACATTAGAAGTGATTGAAACTGAGTGGTTTGAAATGGTAATTTTTCCTATAGCTGACATTTAAAAGATGACAGTTTTCTTTCCCATGTCCATTCTCATTATTTATCAGAACTTACGGTGTGATTTACATCCATAGCAAGTAAAATGGAAAGCCTGACTCCTTTCAGGCCACTGCCTCCCATCTCTTCGCCTGCTGCTGTTCCAGCCTTTACCAAACACCTGCACTGCCACCTTCTGCCTGTCCTACAGATCACAGCTGAATTTCCACCGTGATTTTTTTTCTTATCCTGCCAAATTCATGATGTATGTCCTAGGAAAACTTGGAATACAAAGAAGAATCCATGTGTGCACATGCACAGTCAAGATGGTCTGTAAATTGATTTTTGTTTCTAGCTGGTCTCTATTACAGATGGCGATTGCCCTATACATAATTCCAGCTTTGACTTAGAGGAAGGGAACCCTACAGTGTTGCTCCCCATGACCCAAAAAACTAAAATACTTTGTTCAGCCACTGTTAAGCCAATATAGTGGCCAGTGACTAGCCACAAGTGTTTTGACAGGTTTGCTCAACAGCCTGGTTGATACAGGCAGCATCTGAAATAACCAAATGGGCGCTGGTAGAAGACAAAGCTTAGACCATCAGTTGGTGGAAATCAGGATTTCTTCCTTGACTTTGGAGAAGCTACCCTGTTTCATACCCAATGGTTTCAAGTTATCATACGAACTGTGTGTGCTAGTTGTGTCTGCTTCTACTGTGGCAAAGGAAAAGGAAACGCAAGTGGTGCATGTCTGTGGCTTACAGATAGATGAAAAATGTCCTTTTTTTTTTTCTTTCTTTTTCTTTCCAGTTGAAATATTAATTAAATACAACGTCTATTTGAGAAAAAAGAGAAGTGTCTGAAAGCTAAGTGAACCCAGATGTACTTTAAACCCTCTCACACTGCTCATTTAGAAGAATTCTTGGTATTTTTCCTTTCCTGGCTAAGGAAGGGGTGCCAAGGTCACCCTCTATTTAGGAACATAAATGTTCTTCATGAACATGCTAATTCCTGCAGCAGCCAGCCCCACACCGAGTGGCACTTCCAAACAGGAGCAGAGTCCCTGGCTTCAGCCCTGCGAACCTTTGAAAGAGAGATGGGCTCACCACTGTCTCCTGGAAAGTGCCAGAGTGATTATTAAATATCTAAAACCCAACCTTTAACAGAAAGCCAGTTCTTACAGCCTTGAGAGACTTGATGCATGCAAGAAAAGGTTGGAAAAATTTCCCCTGCATTGTAAACATGATTTCCCTCAGCATGCTGCAGCACAGCTAAGGGAACAGTGGCATCTGGCGTTCGCTGAGCTGTCTTACAGCCACCGCTTCCCAGGTGGGTGCTGGCAGGCTTCGCTGGGCATGGGCAGGATTTGGCTCCCCACATGCAGGTATCTTGTGGCACTTGAGACCTGTAGGACGTCAAAGACTTCTGTACAAGCCTGCAAGCATGATACAGGCCATATGGGAGACTCAAGCCCATCTGAGTGGCAGCTAGAGGTCTGGATGGTGCATCAAATGAGAGAAACCCAAACTTGCTTCTAGCGAAAAAGGTAATTGCTCTTGTTGGGGGATGAATTCCCCCCACCCAGGACCGTGGCGGTGATGCAGCATCACCAGGGAGCCTTTGACTTGGATGCTGTTTGAAATTTGTGTATTTTATGAAATCTTTATTCCGTCTTTCTCAATGGAGAGGAATTCGCTGCTTAATGAGGTGTCCTGGTCCATTTGGTGAGGCAGCCTGTCCACCCAGAGGCCTATGACACTCAGTCTGTGCTGCAACAGCTCCAGGGTGTGATGCTCAACTTTGCGTGTCTGACTTGTTTTTACCATCTGAACATCTCCTCAGTTTAATCTCACGTTCTCAATTTGAGACCCAAAATGCAAGTGCTGCGCAGGAGCCTTACCCCTGCCAGGGATTTTTAACTTGCCCAAAATCTGGAATGAGTTTCATTGGGAGATGTTTGTTACGCTTCTTTCCCCATCTTTGTTCTTGCCCTTAAACAGGATAGTCCCACCATATCTGCTGTATAGACGTGGGTGGCTTTTCCTGTGGCAGAGCCTAAATGCATCTTTTAAACACCTCTGGCAGGCCAGTATCAATAGGCAACTGGGCAGTATCTGAACCTTATGGTGAGTGTGTGCTGTCTCTGGGTTCCAGGTGGAGGGTCCTCCACTGCTGGTCCCCAAGACACAGCCAAAGGCTTGCTTGGAGACACACTAAGCTGTGTTTTCCTTCTCCTGTCAGCAGAGGAAGCCTAAATCTGAGCAAACCAAAAGTTAAAGATGTGCGTCTCCCTGGTGATTTCAATGCAAATTAGAAAAGGCAAATTACTCTCTTCATTTTACTAACTGAAATTCAGTTTATCAGTCTTCTATCTCAAGTACACGAAAGACAGGGCACTTCCTACTGAGAAGAACAGAACGACGAAGTTGAGCTTGGACCTCCATGGAAACAATTTCTGCTGGTTTCTGTAATTTTTCAAGTTGAGATTTTTAGAAGTTCTGCATCCTTATACTAAACCTAAGGTTGTCTTGCAATATTTGCAGGTTCCCCCATGACCAGTTTCATCTGAGTGCTGGGACTGATAGACCTTTTTCTGTTCATGTTGTGATTGGCACATAATTTGATGCACAAGTCCCCAAGCCTGGTTACTTCTCCCTGCTGCGCAGAAGTGAGCGGCTCCGCTCTGATCCGATGCTGCTGTTAATTCTTGCTCCTCCCTGTGGCTGTGCTCAGAAACTCACCGCTTCCCCTGCACAGCGCCTTACTTTGGTAGCTAAACTCATTCAGAGATCCTAACTGTTGTCTCTTTTAGGCAGTTTCTGTCCTATTAAGTTACAACAAATTGCATTTTGTTGACATCAGAACCGGTTTCACAGCTAGAAGTGACAGCAAGGGGTGTTTCTGCAAAGGCACCGCTTAAGGGTGACCTCCATCACCCAAACAAGCAGCACCACAGCTAACAAGCTATCTCTTCTCGCCCACGAGATTTAGCAACTCGTTAGGTGGTTTTACGTTACGTGTAGTACTATAAAGTGATAACATCCCAAGGGCTGACTTTTGGGTGGTGTCGTGTCCTTTGGCACAGTGTTCCTCGGACCGCCAGATCTCTGTTCTGTAACAGTTTGTTCATATCAAACCCTGGAGATGCCATGCACTGAAGTTTATTTTCTATAAAAACATTGGAGGTTTTCCAAAGCACAGCTGAACTTCTGCTAAAAAAAAAAAATCAATTGGAACTGGGCACCTAACTCCAAATCCCACTGAAATTAAATTCAATCCCCATCATCTCCTACAAAGACTTTGGTCTTAGGCTGGCAAATGACCCTACTCTTGCAAGTCAAGGGGCAATTGTAAGCGTACGTAGAACAGGTCACAGAGGTACATGCTCTACAAATAGCCCAGCCGTTTTGCTATCAGCAGTCAAGAGAAATGTTGTTGCCTGAATAGGCAGAGAGTAAGAAACATTAGTTTTGTAATGTCTTTTGTTTATTAAACTCAGTTTTCACTGATGTCCTGAGTTGACAAAAATGTCTTCCAGGGAGATTGACAAACAGAAACAACTCATAAATATGTTTTTTTTTTTTTTTCAAACACTGTAGGTATAAACAAATAAAAGCCCTGTTTTGCTATTTTGGGAGGTCTTGTGTAACCAGCATTTTCAGCTGGCCAATTAGCAGCACATGTGTTAATCAGTGAAGAACTTCCACTTGTTTTTAGAAGATCAAATCCAGTGTTTTAAAATTATTGCTCATTACCAGATAAAACCCCAAGATATCAAGGGTGTTCATTAAAAATCTTCATTAACAGCAGGGATGGTATATATTGACAGTACATGCAGCTTTATAGTGGGGTTTTTTTATGCAATTAAGACCAAAACTTTGAGAAATGAATTAAGATGTTGGGCAACCAATCTGAGGATATTACAGGAGCCAAATTCTCAGCAGGTCTGACCTTGGCACCTTCCTAAAATCTACCTTCTTTTAAGATGTTGGGCTGAGCACCCCCTGACACAAACACGTCCAAACCACTAATGGCAGGGGACACAGCACCCAACTGTGACACTGGTCCGAGGCTTTGCCGCCCAGCGCTAACTCCTCTCCTGGCTACTCGCTGCTCCTGCCTCTTTGCCAAATCCCCTGGGACCTGCCCAGCGAGGCTGCCACGGACTGGGGATGGGGAAGAGGACCCATGCACAGAGAAACGTCATGGAGTTGTAGACGACTGAGGTATTTTTCCTTCCTCGCTGGTCCTCCCGGCTCGCAGGGTCAAGGGAGGGGACAGTGGCAGGTACCAGCGGAAGGTGGAAATGTGGATCTCCTCGCAGCGCTTGTAACTAGAGGCATCTCAACTTTTGCAGCTACTGGTAGCGACGCCTTGCGCGGCAGGTTCCCCTCGTGCCTATCACATACACTACTAGGCTAGCGGTCTCCCACCGGGGCTATGCTACGGCAGTTCTTGCTCCCTTCTGCTTGGGAGCACCTCGGGGCCAGCGTCCGCCTTCCTGTGCCCTCCTGATGGGGCACGGCTCGCTGACCTCCTCGCTCTGCTCTGGCCGGCCCACTTGCTTCTCTGCAGGAAAACACGGAGCGGCACTACTTGTGCTAACCCCTCGGCAGAGGAGCCCGGTCCCGGAGGGAAAGAAACCCACTGTCCATCTCGCACCAGCAAAGCACGTTCCTCAGGGCATCATGACAGAGATGCACTGCGGGGCCTTCTGGCTATCGTCCACTCTTTCCCCGCTGGGTCTCTTCGGATACATCACGCTGGCCATCTTGAAGAACTCATCCGCAGCGTCCAGAGCTATGAGCCGATCCTGCCAAAGGAACAGGGTTTTACAGTCACTACGGGCTGCTTTGGGCAGCTCCCTGGTCAGGGTCCTCCCTCCACAGCTGCCCTCAGGTTAAGCCAGGCGTTAGGTCTGACCTTTTCCCACTTCGTTAACAGGCTGAAAGAGCACCCAGTTGCACAGGCTTAAAGGAACTTGGGGGGGCAAATTTATGGTACTACAGCACTGGTATTTCCAAGGAAGCTGAACAGCCAAGCTACAAGTGCAACAACTGATGGGGACGCCCCAGATGCCACCATGTATTTGAGCATCCTCTGGTGCAGTTCACCTATCTGCTCCCCTTCATTTAAGCTCACTTGCAGAGATGGGGGCCACGGGGAGGAAGGCATGCTCGGAGCTACTCACCACCACAAAGAGGTAGCGCTCAGAAAGCTCCCAGCTGGTCGGGAAGATGTTTGTCTCTTCGGAGAGCTTTAACAGGATATCCCGGGCTTTGCCCATGTTCTGGGAGTCGCTGATGATGCTGAGTTTGGTCACCGACAAGAGGGAGTCTGCTTCCTTCTGGAAACCTGGGAAAGAGATGTGTTACAGTAATGAGTCAAACATGCAAGCAGGGTCATCCCTGAGCCCTCCAGGCTCTTGCAAGGTTCCTTATTCCCCCTCCACTTTGGGTGGCTGCGTTCCCTACTTGCTAAAACAAACTAGCGTTTCCTTGAGGCACGCCCCATGTCTGCACTTGGGGCAGGTATGAGCTTGCTGGTGGGGAAAAAAAACCATAAACCCATTCAGAGCAAGTTTGTTGCTAGTTTTCCAGAGAAGGCGTATGAACATCCACACCCAGAGTGTGAATTCAGCTCTTGCATGTTTCTGATGCTGCCAGAGCTTTCAGGGCTGGTGGGGCTTCTCAGCACCCCAGCGACTACGCCTATATGTTGTTGGGAGGTAACAGTGATAAAAAACCTGCAGCAGTAATGAATGCATGGGTAGTTGTTCCTGTAGCAGTCAGCATCTCTTACAGGAAGGGTATCCATGGAAGGAAAGGCAGAGGAGAATGAATGCAGGGATCTTTAAATGTGATGGCTACCATTAACTCTTTGTTCAGCTCCAGGGAGCTGCTGGTGATGCGTCTCACCTGAAAACACTTATGGGGAAAGAGCGGTGGTCTTATGATTAAAGCACAGGTCTAGATAACAAAAGATAGCAGGTCTTACTGGTTGCACATCTATCTTCACTAAGGTCAAATGATCCCTGGCTTTGAGCTTCCCCACCCTTTGCAAAACAGCTCCGGAGCCATTGCAGATGTGAGGGAGATGTGGGAGAGCCTTTGTCAACGTGCAGTAACAGACGTAAAGATGTCAAGTGATCCCTCCCGCGTTTGGTCTGTACAGGCTGCACGAACACCTGGGTGAAGATGAACGCTGATACCTAGTCGTGAATTTATAATGTTCTTCCCATCCAGATGCCAGAATGGCAGGTAGGGCAGGAGCGGCTGAGATACCCATCTCTTCTGCTCCCAGTGATAATAGCCTTGAACAGCCCAACAAGTGTGCTTGACTCGCACATCCTCCTCTCATTAGCTGCCAACCACCTCCAGAGCATGATGCAAGTCACCGAGCTGATGTGCCGGCACGGCACATCTCCTTGGCCTGAGTGTCACGCGCTGTGTGCAATGCAGTTGGGAAAACCAGGTCACACCCCCCACTGCCTTATCCAGAGGAGCAGCAGCTGAGCACACAGGACCGGTGGGTGCAGTTCACTGGTTGCAGGCTAGGAAATAGCAGGAGGAGGAAGCCCACTGTTGAGCAATTTCATTCGGTGAAAGAATATTTCAAATTCACTTAGGAGCAAACAAAGTGGGTGCTTTAGCTCTGATCAGCTGGCATGGGCTAAGGAAGGAAAATAGAGGTATCTGTGTTCAAATCTGAAAGGAATATTAATTTTCCCCGCTTATCTCATTTAGAAAAATCCAGGGTGAACTCCCAGGTATCCCTGCTAAGTTTCCACAAGGAAGCTTGAAATGGATGAGTGTGCATGCTATTATGGGCTTGAAAGGCTCTCCCACTGATCATGGGTCGTGGGCTTTTTGACTGCCTGCAGACACGGTGGTCCCGTCTCCTCCCTGCCGTGCCTGAGCTCTGGGGAGTCTCCCGCAGGCTCTCGGCTGCCGCGTGGGCTACCCGATGGCATTGCTCAGCGACCTTATTTTATTTTCCTCCCTTTCTCCTCTACCAGCCTGATTTTGTGGAGCCGTTCCCATCCTCAACCATCGTGGGACCTCTCGTTCGGTACCACTGAAATGACATCCTTTTGTCCTCTAGCTTACCTAAATCCTCCAAAATGTGTTTCCACCTGTTTCTCACTTCTTTTCGGGTCTGCCGTAAAGTATAAATATCATAGTTGAGCTTTTGCCATTCCTGCAAAGGAGAAGGATAAGAGATATTCAATAATTTGCATGTGGGGAGGTCTCCGCTGCTTTTGTAGGAATTTCAGCTTTTAGAAACGGAGCCAGAGTTGAACTGTTGCTGTTGGCTCTGAGGGATAAGTGTGAAGGTCGATGGCCAGGCTGCTGTTGCCCCTGGAAGAAATTACACTGACCAGCATAAAATATTTTAGCTTGGCATTTGGTACAGCATCTCTGTATCTTCTCTGTGTGTACAAAACAGGCTTCCAGTTACCTTGAAATTGGATTACAGAATTTAGCTTAGGCATTGCTGATGACCAAAGTGGTGTCCTCGGTCAGACAAGGAGAATATAATTCCAGCTCTGTGCTGGAAATTATAACGCTGTCCTAGGCTGGAGAACAACATGAACTTCCAAATGTAGTTCATTTGAGACACTTCAGTCTCTTTGGTCCAAAGCCCTTTACCCCAAACCTTGACACCCCTGCCAGTATCAAAAGCTGAGGTTGTGAGAATACCTTATTCGGCCTTTGACAGCTTGAGAAAGCACGACCACGTATTAATAATGACCTTCTATAAACTATTGCAACACCTTATTTTCATATCCTTGCAGTTAAACTGGCATGGCACATTTTCTTACAGCTGATGATAGTCCACGGGGAAACTAAAAGTTTGAAAAAAAAGTTAACTGCTCTCAGTATGGTCACACATACAAAATGGCTTCTCCAAACTGCTCAGCCCTCTGTTTGGCATTTAACTGGAGCAGGCAGGTTTTCAAAAGCACTGGAAAAAAGAAAAATAGACTTTTTTAAAGGCTGGGGTACCCTTTTTAAATAGCAGAGAAGAGGGATTCACATGGATGTTTGAGGGCTGAGCTGGAGTCTTTTGACATTAGAACTATTCTTGCTAGTTGATGCAGTTAATGCCTCATTGAACTATACAGCTTAAATCCTTGCACTTGACCTCAAGCTTTATATCTGCATAATGGGACACCGCCTAAAGGGCAAGGTTTTGAGGTTATTTATTAAAGTTATACCAGCACAATTAAACACATCTGTACAAGTATGCATTCCTGTGGAAATGCATGTATTCTGCGAGAAAAGCAGGAGTACTTTTCCTAGCTGAGTTTAATCAATGCACACACTGCAAAGGATGCATTTACAGAAGCATCCACACAGCGGGTCATAACATCACTCAGTTAATTTCCCTGCACTAACAACTTTAACCTCATCTCTCAGCAACAGATTACATAGATGGACTCTTGTAGAATAAACGAGTGTTAATCTGTGCCGTCTCCCTGGGATTTTCCTACATGACGCGCTGGGTTCAAAGGGGTTAAATAATACTGTCGTACAAATACCCATGAAGGTAGGCTGTGCTTTAGAAATCCCACTGGTTTTCTGATACCTGTTGCCTTAAAGAGTTTACGTGATTTGAGAAAAAGTTGGAGATTTCTTAGTGGTTTTTTCCTGAACCCAGCTGACATGCCACGACTGCAGAGAATTAAACAACGAGCCTGTTTTCTTGTTGTTCAGCGATAGTTTCAGGAACCCCTTGGAGATTATGCTTTGGAAGAAGCAGCCAGCGGGGTCAAGACACTGGTGAATTCAGGTCAGGAGAGCAGGGGAAACGCGGCTCTGCCTGCAGCCACTCGCTCTGCATCACCCACCCTCCCGGAGAGCAAAATCCCCTTCATTTTTAGCTTTGTGTTGTTGCTCGCAACGAGCTAGCTTTGCCGATCAGAGCTCTGTTTCTCTCTTGACTGCAGCAGTACTTGAAAACAGCTTTTCTGTTTGCACAGGAGGGCACCTGGCTGCCAGCGCAAGGCATCAAAACGCCTCTTCAGCCCTTCGCTAGAGAAAGGAGGCAGGGACAAGACTCCTCTCTCCCGTGACACCAGCTCGTAGCTAGGAATTGAGCTCCTCTCAGTGAAAAAGAAAAGAGGGGGTTTATTGTATTAAAGGTTTGTGGGAAGTTTATTGCAAATTTGAAAGTTTTAAAGGAAGAGAATAAAAGCTGCCCAGTGCCACGGTCCCCACTGGCAGGGATCCCTCGAAAACATCTCAGCCTGCTCGTGACCCCACGGTATAAGCAGAAAGGAGAACAAACCAGTCTGGGCATGCTGGTGGGGAAACAAGCTGCGTGTCTCTGCCCTCCCGCGGAGATAAACAAGTGCTTTAATGCAGACAATCCATCAAGACACGGCTGCTGTGATTCCAGGCGTGCTTCACGCTGCTGAACTAGTGAGCCGGGGGCCTGGGAAAGATGCTCCCCTCCCCGAAACGCAGCTTGCCGTGCAGCAGCTTTCAGGGCTGCATGGATTCACCCCCTGCAGTAGTGAGCCAGACTCCTCGCTAAGCTAAATGGGGAGCGGTGCTTAGCATGCAGGGAAGCTGCTCCTGATTTTCTCTGGATTAACAGCAGCATGTTTTCCCTTGTCTATTTTTGTTTTAAGGGAATCTAGGTTATGGCTTTCTTGTACGTCGTAGTTACTGAGTTGCATTATGGAAGTGAATATGGTGCATATTTAGTCCCAGGGGATCTCTAAGAGTGTCCTGTCGATGAAGAATTTGGGGAGTGTGCAAAGGAGTGGCTTTAGTACAGAAAACTATGCTTAACGGTGGTTCCGGGGGGGGAACCTCTTGTTTTGGTGGTATTTCTTTCGCCTGGGTGTGGAGCTGAATGTATTTATGTTTCTCCAGAGAAAGCTGGGAGGAGGATGCTGCACATGGTGCCAGCTGTTGAAAAGCAACTAGAGACAGCAGAGATTACCGGGGTGAGGTTGGGCAGCTCCAGGTTGAGCTCTCGAAGGGACTCATGCCCTGTGCTGCATCAGCCTTAAAAAGCACCGAATTTTCCCGGATGATTCCTTGTAGCAGAGACATCCCAAAGGTTGTGGGCAGGGGATTATCCTCTGTATTGCTTTAATGAGGGAAATAGTTAAGAGCATCCTGCCACCCCCAAAATTATTCTACAAAGCATCTCCCTTTAACTATACAGCAGAGGAAGAGCAAAGCCTGCCCATCTCCGCATAGGAATGGGCAACATCAGAGACTTTGGGGAGGGTGTTCCCCATGAGTCACCAAGATGTGACCTGCGGAGGGAGCGTTTGGTCAGGGCCGGGCGGCATCACGAGGCCGAGGCTGCTGAGCACCCGCTGCCGGGCAGCCCCAGGGCAGGCAGCGGGGGCTCCACGCCAAACCCCGCTCTCCTTCAGCCCACGCTGCAGCTGTGACAGGGACCGCTGCAGCGTACCAGGGCACCGGTGCGATGCAGGACAGGGCACGCCGGTGCTTGGGCAGCCCTGGGCAGAGCGAGGCCGGAGCAGGCTGCCCTCTGTGCCGCATCCCAGGCTGGCTCCCCCCCAGAGCCCCTTCCAGCGAGGTGCCCAAGCCTGTGTGCAGGCATGGGACAAGCAGCTCTCTCCCAAAACTTAGCTTCGTTTTGCATTTCTTGTGCACCTTCGTTCCCTGTCCTGCCTCTTGCCTAGTTGGATGTAACTTCTGGAGCGGCGAGGAGGCTTCTTGCGCACAGTACTGGGAACGTTCAGCGGGAGACTGGTCTTCACCAAACCTCTTAGTGTTTCTATGGGTCTGGGACATCCCAGCAATGCATTCAAAATCAATCCTTTAAGAAAAATACCCTTTTGCCAAAATCTGAATTAACCACAGGAAACCAAAGCAGGTTGCAGTTCCTAGCCCTGTTTTTTGCAACCAGTTTTGTCCTTTTAAACCTACATAGCAGGGCACAACATATGCCAGAGGAGGCTTGAGAAAACCCTTTGTGCATGAGTCAAGAATATCCCGGGAGCAGCAGGGAAACGCCGTTGCCTCTCTCCTCTGAGCGCTCAGCCCTTCAAATATTTACCTGAAAAACTTCCCTGGACTCTCCAGTGTGACATACTAAATTTGCAAATGCCAAATGGAAGTGAGGAAATACTGGGCATGAAATATAAGCCAGGTTGGTACATAACCAAGAGCTCTGGGAAAGAATGTGCCAAGAGAACAGGCAAGCACTTTCCAACTTCTCATCCCTGCTCGTACGGAAATTTCCTAATTAGTAGGTAGCCTTCCTCATGTCGCCAAAGCAATCCTCTACCAAAGCCTTCTCCTTTATTCCCTTGAAAGCAATTGGTGTCAGCGATCTGTTCAAGAGTTATTTTGGAAATGAGGTCAAAACAGAGTTATCGGGGAAAGACTGCAAAATACCAGCCCAGGTACCACGCCACATCCAGGGATGCTCCTCCTCTGGCTCTACGACTGGCCCCACAGGAAGGAGTTGAGCAAATACAAACTCTAGATCCACGCTCATACATTGAGCCATCGACCGACATCTCAGCTTAGAATAAGCTTAAATTGGATTCAGTTTTAAGAGGGGCATGCAGAAGTTAATAAATAATTTTTCATATGTATTAAGTGGGTCAGTTCTGGGCTCCCTAACCAGCATCCCCAACTCTGGGCAAATCCCATCGCCTCTCTATGCCCCAGCAACAGTGTGTCGCAATACTGACCTTCTCTGTAATGTGTTTAAAAAAGAATAATCCTGTAGGAGAGCAGGAGGAAGCAGAAAAATAGGCCTTGTCAGCTTATTAATGGGCTTGTCAGGAGGATCATGCCAGTGCAGCCCTGCTAGCCAGGCCCCCAGCAGAGATGCAGGCTGAGGAATTGCCTTTGCTAGTGGGGTTTATGATCCCACCTTCCCTAAGGGAATAAGCCAAAAGAAGAAAGAAACACTGCATTTACGACAAGCCATAAGACAGTGTTTTTTCCTCGATCATAATGCAAAAACCCACCTTTAATTTCTGTCCACAGCTGCCCTAAACCTAGCTCCTTCTCTGAAGCCAGTGTTGGTGCAACAGCTCAGGCTCTCTGCCTGCGGCTGGGTAACTCCATGCACCCCATCAGAGCGCATTGAGGCACCAGGGCCACCACAAACTGGTCCTCGTGGAGGGTGGCATCTGCCACACTGCGCACATAAGCCAAATAAGCCCAGCTCTTGCTGTCAACATTGGAGGCACAGTAATCCCCCTTCCCCGTAAAACGCTTTTCTTAGCATTAGCAGGGTACGTGCTGGAACAGTGACTTGGCCTGTATCTATGCAGCATCTTAAATAACATCCTGTTTTCCTAGAGGTCCCCATTTCACCTCCAGATTTGGGGTTTTACTTTACACCACAACAGGTTCGATCACGCTGCAGGGCAGGAGCAGGAAAAAAATTTTTCCATATTTGAAAAGTTGACCCCAGCCTTCAAAAGCTTTGATGACAGCTTTGATCTCCAAAGGCTGCATCAGCTTTACCAGCCCCCTTACGCCAGCCCTTCAGCTACGGCTTTTCTGGTTTTCTCTGCACACACCCTCCCTTGCCCACACTTTGACTCCGAAAGCACATCCAAGCACATTGTGCTCATCAGCCTCAAGCAGAGAGAAATGCGGAGCCGCAAGTTGCTCAGTCCTCATGGTTTTAGGAGGCTCCAGCGAATCTTGCCTCATGTACCTACTGCACGGTGGGCTTGGCACCCGCTGGGTGCTCCAGCAGGCTGCACCACAGCCAACGGCCCCGTGAGCCGTCACTCCCAGCACACAGCACCGAGCAGGATGAGCAAGTGGGTGTGAAACAGGGCGCACCTGGGACGTCACGGTGCTTGCTTTGAAGAGCTTGCTGCCCTGGTTCAATGAGGAGCGGGGTGGAACAGCCCTGCCATCCTTATGCAAGCTAAGGTCACACTGAGTTTGGGCTGGAGTTGCCAACTTTCCCAGAGTGGGGCTGTAGGGAGGGGGCAGGGAGAGAAACGGCTCCACATAGATCAGTTGTGGGTCCAGCCCCATGATGGGGGCAAGGAGGTGACTCCAAGGGAGGACACCAACACTGTGAGTTGCTGGCAGCCCCACCACAAATGATCTAACACGCAGAAAATTGGTTGAGCTACAGGGTACACTCGGTGTTGGCGCGCCTGGCCCTTCACATACACAGTTTGGTTTATTGATTTACACCGATCCTCAGTGCAGAGGTGCCCAGGCCAGGAGAGGGCCATCATGGACCACGCCAGCTGACCTCCAGCACTGTGCCGATGTCACCACTGCATCCTGGCCCACCACTTCTCCTGTCCTAGCTCACAGCACCTTGTCACAACGTGAACAACCATTTTAAAAAAAAAAAGAAAAAAAAAGGAAAGCAGAAATGGGTTAGCCAGATTAAGAAAAACGCGATACTGGTTTGAGGCCAGGATGGTGCCATACAGATAAAACACACATAACGTAGAGCGACCTGCTCTTTGGGATCCTTCCAAAGTCCTGCGCTAGGAAATCACAAAGATAAAGGTGGGGAATGGCAAAGCACACACAGTAAATGCACAGCACGCTGAAATTTCTTTGTTAAATGAAGGAGCAGAAATACAGGGACTAGTTCTCCTTTCAATCCAATTTTAACCAAAAGAAAAAAAAGGACCTATGGTTTTGTAACGCTTGTGCTGCATAAACTTGTCCTGCAGCATCCACACGCTCTCCCCGGGGACTGTGGGAGCAGAGCAGCTCCCAAAGCAGATTACGGCTTTTGCAGCCCAGTGCTGTTTTGCAATTAGACTTCTTTCTCTCTCTCAGGGCTGAAGCCTCATTAGGAGGGGAGGGCAACGCAATCTGGCCTAGTTTTAAAATGCTCACTGGAGTAAGGAGAGATTTCGGCACCCGGGGCCGAACACAGGAATGTTGGCTTTCCTGGCCAAGTCCCTCCCTGTTCTGCCATGCAGAAAAAGCTGCAGCTGGAAACTGCAGCAGCTTGTGGGGTTTATATATATTCTGCCTCAGTTTCCCTAGCTGTAAAAGAGAGACAGCAGAGAGGCTGGCAATCACTAGCTGCACAGGGCACTGTGCCATAATTCAAACCATGTGTACCACGGGTTGGCTTTCTTCAAAGTCGGCCTGATGTACTCCTCAGGCTTTTTTATTTATTGCACTGCATAAAAAACAAGAATATGTGATCTTACATTCGTTGTGGAGAGGAAGCCCCGTGCTCTTTGTACTTTCCTTTTTCACTGGCAGGCATGGCGACTGCACAGACCCGCTAAAAACCCTACGGACATGCTGAAGGCAGAGAGAAAGCGTTGGGTTTAGGACAAGCAGGCACACTGCGTTTAGGACAAGCAGGCACGCTGCCTTTAGGACAAGCAGGCGCAGGAGTGCTCTCTTGCTCAACTGATGCTCTCCTTGCAACGTGAGCAAGGCTGACACACAACGCTCCCTTGCCCAGGGAGCCGTCTTTTTAGCAGCCCGTCCACTTATGATACCGTTTTATAAATAATAATAGCTTTTAGGAGGCCTGCCTCTTAATGAACCCTAAATCAAGCTAAAAGGCTGCTCGACTGGGTGCGGGCTGAAATGAGGAGCTTCAGCGCTGCCCTGAAGTACACCCAGCTCTGAGCAGCCCAGGACCGGCACAGCCCTCTAAATGGAGTTGTCCTCGTTTCCTTCAGCCAATTTGGGCTGGATGAGGCTCCCTGTCTTCCCTAAGACAAGCAATCGCAAAATAGAGAAAGCAGTGCTGGGGAGGGAAGAGGGTATCTTCAGTTACAGCTGCGATAGCTGTAAAGGTTACATGCAGCCATGAAAACGTTGTTACAAACCCATCCATTGTAAATACCACGATTAAGTCAATCCCCACCAAAAAAAACCCCCAAACATTAAATGGGGATTCTGGCCAACTGTATACAAGGATTGCATTATCTCATTTTAAGTTTTAAAAATTGTAATTTTGATCTCAGCTGTACCTCTGGAGTTTAAGGCTTCTCGTGAAAGCTGAGCTAGCTTGTGGTTTAAGGGGACCATCATAGGAGGAAGAGTTACAGTTTTGCAGTCTCTTGGATGAAGTGAGATCATGTTGAAATGAAATGTGAAGCCTCCAGGCTTTTATGCAAACATTTTGAAGTCTTAAAAGCGATCAGAGACGGGAAAATGTGTCACTATTTGCTACACCCTGCTCTTAATCAGGCCGCTGAAATCTCTTTTGCGCAGAAGTGCTTTAGCAAAGGAAATCAGGGCTGCAAAACAGCCTTTATGTAACAGCGATGATTTTTCCCTTCTGCGCTAAGAGCTGTGCCAGTTCTCCGCTTCTCGGTAATTGCCGTACTACCCATAAGAGGAGTATTTAACTTGATGCGCCACCGGAGCGGCAGCTCAGCTCCAGGCGCTGCCATTGCTGGGCAAACGCCACTGCCGGCAGGGCTAATGCCAGTCTGATCACAGAAGGGCCAAACCAGGGACATATTGGACAAAAAAAGCAGCCTGTGAAGCTAGGAAATTGAGCTGGCGGTCCCAGTGCTACCAGTACACATTTGCGGGTGGTGGTGGTAGAGGTGCTTGCAGGGCATCGTGCAGCCCAGCTCAGGGCGGCTCTCCTGGCTCAGCTGCCGGAGACATCCCCGAGCTTCCCAGGGATGAGATGGCTACAGATGGATCCACACCAGATACAGGATAACATCTGGAGGGTGACGGAGCAGATGGGAGGACCCGATGCCTACGTGAGCCATGTTGGGGGACTTGGGGGTCTTTATAGCAGCTTAATGGGTGCTTAAATAAAGGCACTGCCAAAGCATCCGATGAAAGCACCGAGCCTTGGTCCACAGTGAAACCCGAGTGTGAGGAACAGCACCGCCTCACCTCTGAGTCCTTGTCCAGCTGGTTCCTGACCACAATCATGTTGTACAGCACCCGGTCGTCATCCGCCTCTGTGTGGGTCACGTCGTGCGGGGTGCTCCACAGGTTCTGCTCCTCGTCCCGCGCCAGCGTGGCTCCGAAGGAGGCGTAGGGGTTGTTGTTACTGCAGGGAGGGGGAGAGGCAAGGCAGCATTAGCTACCGCAGCATCACACTGCCTCCTTTTACCTTCCCAGGGTAAAGTGCCCATTTCTGTGGCGTCCCCTCTCGCAGCCCAATGTGCTGCCTGGGAGAGAGGAGGAAGAGGAGGAGGGGGAAATGGGAAGGCAGTCAGAGTTTTTTACCTTAGCAAACATCCTGGCCACGCAAGCCATGGTTCAAACCAGGCAGTGCTGCCATGAAACCAAAGACATCAGACACAGGCATTTGCTAAAGACATCAGATATTATTTGAGCAGCTAGGATGGAGGAACTGGGAGCACCCATCTGTAAGGATGAAAGGCGGTATCTCCCCATTGCTCCCGCAGCCCCCTGCCCTGCCCCGCATCACGCCTTCCCGCCCCAAACCTTGTGCAAGCCCCCCCAGCCTCTCCGAGCTTAACGTGGGAACAGTTCTAATTAATTTAGACTCAAAAATCCCGGCGGCTCCGGTATTTTCTCTCTGCCCGGCTAACTCTGCAGCCGTGCCAAGATCCCAGCGGCACAATCTGTCCCCAGAGAGACTTTGTGTGCAGAGGGATATGCCTTGAGCAGCAGGCAAGGGGATGGCTGCGTGCAAAGCCTCTCCCTTGCCTCTTGGCCAAAGCAGCAGCTTCTACCCATCTTCTCCTCAAAGGCAGTGCTGTTGGGCACGGTTTTATTTTGGACAAAACACGCACCACCTTTGCTGAGGGAGCTGGGACTGGTTAGCCCAGGGAAGAGATAGCTCAGGGGGATCTTATCCATGTGTATAAGTACCTGATGGGAGGGAGCGAAGGAGACAGAGCCAGACCCTTCTTAGTGGTGGCCCATGATAGGGCACACATAGAAATGTAGGAAAGTCTGTTTAACCATAAGAAAAAAATGTTCTAGTGCAAGGGTGAGTGAACATTGGCACAGGTTGCCCAGAGAGGTTGTGGAGTCTCCATCCTTGGAGACACTCAAAGCCCAACTGGACATGGTCCTGGGCAACCTGCTCCGGCTGACCCTGCTTGAGCAGGGGTTGGACTGGATGCTCTCCAGAGGTCCTACCTGCGCAACGATGTTTCTGTGTGACTCAAGGGCTCTGTTTTCTCCCCAGCAGCCCAAACCCCACTGAATCAAGCAGGCAGTCCCCATAGGGGACAACCCACCCTGGCAGCTCCTACCTGAGAGGTACAGCGATGCACTGAGCTGCGCAAGGACCTGTGCCAAGGCGCAGAAAGGACATGTAGCCCCATCTTTATTTTGGGGATGGGAATGTCCTCAGCCTGCTTGTGAACTCTGGGCTTTATTTGCTTTGCCATCAGCAAAGCAGAGCATCATCTTCTGGGAAGGCTGTCCCCACCGAGGCCAGGAGCTTTTCTCTGCACTGGTGGCAGTTCTGAGTTTTATGGCTTTATGTTGCTACTGGGATGTGCATTTCTTTAATATGGTTATTTAATTCTGCCGGGAGAGCTTTTAGCAGAGGATTTCCATAATGTTTCTAATCAAGATGTCCAGACACTTGAGCAGAACAACACAAATGGCGAAATATTTTCGGCCTTACCCAATAGTCTCATTAGCCATCCTGTGGCAATCCCTGCTCACTTCTTGTTAGAACAACCCACTGTTTATTCTATCTGCTACTCAAATCCCATTCCTTTCGCAAGGAACCCATCCAACGAAACCTCAGATAACACTGCGGGCGCTTTAGCCAAGCCATAAAAAAGATGCTAAGAGGAGCTCCAGCACACAGATAAAATAGAAAAAAATCATTCACATCAACATCAGCATCCCTGCAGGAAGGTTAATTAGCCTTTCAACAAGCCAAAAACCCGAGCAACAGGTAATAAGCTAAAATATAATCTCTTATTATCTCTCATTAAAGACAAGCAAACAAATGTAACTTGGAGGGTGTGGATGGCATAACTCAGCCGTTCCTACACCGGAGCCAGCATGGATTCGCTCAAACCATTTTTCAGATGTGGAGCAGGTAGGATCCCAGCCTGGAAGGGATCACTCAGAAGCCAAAAACCCGAGCAACAGGTAATAAGCTAAAATATAATCTCTTATTATCTCTCATTAAAGACAAGCAAACAAATGTAACTTGGAGGGTGTGGATGGCATAACTCAGCCGTTCCTACACCGGAGCCAGCATGGATTCGCTCAAACCATTTTTCAGATGTGGAGCAGGTAGGATCCCAGCCTGGAAGGGATCACTCAGGAGCCAGCCGTGCTATCAGCAGGAGTTTGGTCCCATCCTGCCTTCGACAGGCTTCTTCCCACTCAGTGACTTACCGGTACCCTTAACATCTGACTTACTTTAAAAACCAGATTTGGCAATAACACTAACACGCCTTAGCTTTTACGAGCCGCTCCCTCACAGCTTGCAAGGCGCTTCCCAATGCCTCTCTATTTCCAAACCGCGGCATGGAGCATCCAGCAGCCTGTAAGGGGTGCGGGCAGTGCCCGGGAATCAGCAAATCCATACAAGCACGGAGAGCTCTGCCAACAGCGAGCACCCCCAGCGTGCACTGGACTTCCAAGCAACATTTAAAATGAAGAAATGGGAGGAAAAAAAAGGAGCACATGAACAGCAGCCTGCTTTGCAGGTTACAGGAGTCTCCGTGGGACCAGAGAGGACTCAGACCATTTCACACTCTGGGCTTTATCCAGAAAATGGTGAGTGCTAATGCTTCATCACCAAATTCCTGCTCCAACGGGCTTTCAGTCCAGATTAAACCCATTTCAGGATTCAGAGCCCAAATTCTCAGTTTATTTGCATCCTGAGGACACCATCCGAGCCAGATCCCACCTTCTCACATGGAGAGACAGCCAGGCAGCCTGGATACATTTTGGCTAGGGTTTCTTTTCCCAGCCCTGCACTAGCGCTGTGCCTACATCCGTGCTCCATCCCCACCTCCACGCACAGCGCTGGCTGCTCTCACTGGCCTCGTCACAGGTTGCAGCCAGCCTTGTATATGCTCGGGTAATAGATGCATCACATTATACTCATATTACCTCCTCCTCACTGCTTTGTTCTTTGACACGTCGGATTTTTGAGACTGCAACACTCCACGTGGGGAAAATAAGGTGAAAAGTCATAAAGTCAACATTTCGGTACCAACACCAGCTCCCGAAAACTAAAACTTAGCTAAAAGATCTGAAATCTCAAGCAAGTCATTCATTTTAAACAACGCTGCGATTAAAATAAAAATACAGCAAGCGTGCTCCTGCAAGATCCCGGCTCTGAAATAAAACCCCAAAATCCTCCCAACGAGGGACAAGCCAGTGATTAGGCTGTTGGATTAATCATGCTGGCACACTTGTGCAAGAGCAGGTGCCTTTCAAATGCCCAGCATTTATACAGGCTTTCCTACTTATAGCCAGCATTAATTGGATCGCCGGCGGAAGGCATGTTACTAAAGAAAGGTGCCCGGTGAGGGACAGCCACCCCGGCCGGCAAGGCAGCAGGAAGGAGCCTCTCCACACGTGTGCTCGGCTCTCGTTAGGTTAATGCCAATTTCCTGGGCTGGAGGCCCCATGCTCAGGATTATCTGGTTATTATTTAGGTAACTGCTTTACCAGCACGAAATCAGGACGTTTTAAGCCCTGTTGTCGGCTCTGCTATTACCCGATACCTATGCAGGCCACACTGGGAGCATCCCACCCTCCTTGAAATGCCTCTGTCCCACCGGTGACACAGGGAGGGCACAGTCCCTGCCCCGTCCCAGGGCTGGGGTACCCACTGAGGGCTTCGGCGGCAGCCAGGACCCTGGCTGGCAACTGAGGAAGGAGGGAGAGGTGTTGCAAACATGCAAAACCTCCTTACGTGCTTGCACAGCTCATAGCTCATCTCCGCGACTCAGGGCTTCATCTTTTTGTACGAAAATCCCCCCCAACCTCACGGCTCTGCGCACAAGACAGAGGTGATCGATAGCGGGAGAGAAAAATCTGCTCTCTAGAGATCAGCACACGCGCTGCTTTCACATAAAGCCGGTTCCAGCAGTGCGGTGATGTCTCCTTTCCAGCACCCCCGGCCCGGGAACAGAGCTCTGCGCAGCACAGAGCTGCCCGACGGTGGGACCCGACCCCCTGGGCAGTGATGCGGGGACCGAGGCACCCCTGCTCGCAGGTGGGACCCCCTTTTTGTTCGGCGCCTCAGCCTCCTCTATTGAAATCCCACCATGGAAAGACAAAAGCTGTGGAAAGACAAAAGCTGAACGGTTCCTATGGCGAGAGGCGCACGGGAAATACCGAAGAGATGCTGCTCTTGGTTTGGCTTGCTAAAACTTAACCATGGAAAACCCCACGGCAGGCAGCATCGGCGTGCATCACGCCATGAGGTGTCAGAAACAACCCGGCCCCTATGGCAAGCCAACTCAGGCGGAAAGAGAACTGAAAGCAGCTCGTTACATTCGGGAGAAAATCCCTTTGGAGCCTCGTCCGGCTCTCGCAGGGGATGGCCAACTCCCTATGGAGAGCAGCGGCTGTTAAATCACTGGAAACTGTTTTGGGGGGAAATGGGGCTCGGCTTGACGCGACAGGGGCAGCCAACCTGCGGGAAAGGGCTCTGGGGTCCGGTGTGGGGCCGAAGAGGGGCTCACGCGTGGCCGTGGAGCGGGCAACCCATCTGCGGTGGGAGCATCCCTGCTCCCGCCCAAGGCGAGGGGGCTCAGCCCCATCCCTCCAAGGGGGCTGGGGAT